CTTCAGGATAAGCTTGAAGTTTAATTAATAGATTTAACTAAATACTTGTCTAAGTAAATTTGTAACTCAGTCGAAACCCGTAACTCGTACGCTTGGAGCACGAAAATGAGTTCTGGATATTCAAACGACAGTCAGCTTCGGTCGTAAAGCTTTGCACATGTCATGTGATTTGGGTGGTCGGAAGTAACTTTGACTTCCGGTCGCTTAAATTTGAAGAAAATTTCAGTCTCAAAGACAAATTTAGTTAGCTCCCACTGCAGTAACGAAAAATACAAAGATTAATTAATTAATTATTCCTTTCGTACTTGTTGGATATGAGATGGATTATATCAAACTCCGTGCTACACGCCTCGTTGGATACCAACTATGGCCTTGAAAGAATTCATACCCGGCATTCTGAAGGCTCATTAACCCTGGGCTAGCGATTTCAACATCTGTGCAATCAATGATAACCCTACAATTACCAAATAAATGAAACGAGGAAGGGGCACAGGTCTTGTTCTTGTCCCTAGAAGGTATACTGCACATGAAATCGTCAAAAAATAAACTATGTAAAACATGCACAAACGTCACAAAAATGTTAGTTATAGTAGTAACACTACAACAAAATAATTGTGCCAGATGGAGGTTGGTATAGTTTTGCCTCAGTTTCATTAGTGTAACAAACACCTGATCGTCTAACTTGATAGAATCGACTTTCCACCCGTAATAATAGCTAATATTGTCTTTAAATCTTAAAATGTAATTGACATTGACTTCGTTGAGAGCCCAGTTTCCATCCTTAATACGTCAGTATCGATGGCAGCCACTGAATATCTTGTTCTTTGGTAGACTTGCTGTTCCCTAAGTTCTCTTAGCTCCTTCTTTACACAGTCTAATTCGGCTTCTAGAATTGTCAGACTGGCAGAGGTAACTTTTTCTTCGTTAGTTTTCAAGTCAGGTGACTCTTCGAGTTTGTGCTCTAATTCTGTGTTACTTGTCGCCGTTCGCTTTCTTTTTTCCACGGAGAAGTCATTGCAAATATCTTATTAATGTTCCTGGCAAATAATTCGGGTCCAAGAATCTTTTTTTTATCGCGGAAATGACAGCTACATACTCTAGAGTTGGAATTAGGATCACGATCTCCCCTCCTGAAAGGCAAGTTCGGTAATTGTAAATCGGCTGCGACCATAAGCGTAATCCCTGTCAAGTGAAACAAACTCATCTAACAGATACCGTAAAAAACTTACCTGATGAGGTCCTTCCAGCGTTTATGTTGTGTCTCGTCCTTTGGAAAACGAAAAAACTGACAGGTATGACTTTGCGATTGATGATTGCAGTCAGGGACGAAACACTTCACCACGGCCGATAAGATCGTACATGAATGCGACGATAACCGCCAAAAAAAGAAAACGTTTCAACACAGTCTAGAAATTCGTCAAGTTTCAAATCAAAGAGGCAAACGTTTAAAAGCTATAGACGAATGTTTAAAGCAAATTAGTAGCACTGAACGTGACTAAACATAACAGCGCGCTGCGTCGATGTGGTTCATTCTCTTCTTGTTATTGGCTCGATCTCGGATTGTTTAGAACCAAAAAAATGGTTACCATGGAACTGTGACGTCACACTTTACCACTCTATAGGCGCCTGGCGCTTATTCAAAATTTCGGCTAAAAGGAGGGGCAAAGAGGGCCGTTTAATAGAGAGAGCGCTTAATAAGTTTTCATTTCAGCAAAATGTAACTTAAGGTTGGGTAACCTTTTTAAAGAAAAACAAAAACTGCCACAAAGACGTAGAGTCCATATTAATGTCTTTCGTTTGTTAAAACAGTGGTTGGTAGTCAAGCGCACCGTAGTCTTATTCAACACTTTACACACAGATGTATCGGCATGTTCTTAAATATCGATTATCTCATCATTCTCGTCAACGATATGCAGATCGTTGCATTCCTCTTGATCCATTAGGCGGTGAAAGTGAAGACGGAGGGAGGGCACGTTTTCAAGGGGGGCACTTGTTCGACATCATGGCCTAGTGGGTGGGCGCTTATTCGGGGGAGGGCGTTTATTGGAGCGTTGGCACTTATCCTCGGATATTATCGGTATTTACCATCTCATATCCAACACGTGTTCATGGAGTAAATTTTTTCCTGATTCTTTTCAGCCCAACGCAGTGGTCCTCTGAAGCGTCACACTGTTGATGAAGTCTACACAACGCCTCCATCCGGCCAAATATCTATGCTGATGAGGACACCTCTGGATCCTCCAGTTCCGTTGCGGCCGCGCTCTAAAAGTTATCCTGACCTTGATATTTTTAAAGAGGTAAGGTGACATTCTGCCCTCCTTCCTGATTTTGATTTTTCACTTCGACTACGGCTTAATCTACTTGTTAACAGCAAATACTTTAGAGTCACAGTCAATACTTAAACTTAAACATGAAGATGGAACGGGAAACGATTAAAAGTATTAACGCTTGCATTATGATGATCGACAGGCTCTTCAAATTGGAGGAGAAGACGATAACGAACATGAATCAGGTGAGTTTTGTATCTTTCCTAGAAAATTAATTGTGTGGTTATCTTTTTGTCAAGAAATACTTACTCACAAGTTTCTGAATATTTCAACATCGTTTGCCGTTCTAATTTATGTAAGGCTTTCACCCGGGGATACTTTTTCTGTTGCTGACAGTGTTCTTTAAAAAATAATAGAAGAATTTGAATAAGAAAATGAAACAAGCAACCTACAACTGTACAACTATGGTAGCACGATGGAAGTCTTAAATAAAATTGCAGTCTTTGAAAGCAACCAAGGAATAACTGTAAAATCGCGAGGTAGATCCTCATTTGAGGTGATCCCATGACACCCGCCGACTTACACTCCATTCTAACTAGAAATGACAGTTTCTAGCCTCGATCCAAATAATCTTACACTTAGAATAGGTCTGTAGATTGTAAATGTCCTTTTTTGTTCTATTTGTTGTTTATTTGTTGTCTAATTGTTTTACTATTTTGTTGCAGTTCCTGGGGAAATCGTTGCTCGAGGCCCTAAGGCCCTCGAAGCTTACCATCGAGCCATCGAAGAAGGAAAAGCTAGTGTGAAAAGAGTGCCAATCATGTTCATTGGGCAAGGTCAGTCGGGAAAAACAAGTTTAAAGAGATCACTTATAGGAGAGGAATTCAATCCAGAAGAAAGCAGTACTATAGGCATCGAAACAGATCCTTCCTATTGTAAAGTATCAACGGAAGTTTGGAAAATGGGAGAGGCAACCCACGAAAGAGATTCAAGCATGGAGCCAATCTCTTTCGAAAAACACACAGCTCAATACATTGTTAACAGCCTCGAGAAAAACGAACGAAGAAAAAAACTCAAGCCTAGCCCATCTCGTTGCGACAATGTATCTGAGAAGAATGGAGGTCCATCTTCCCTAAATCATAATGGTGTGTCATCCGGTGCACCAAAGGTTAAAGCCGTGCCAGAAGAAATAGCATCATTAGTTACGAAGCTACTTCAAGTTGTGCGCGTTGACGAAGACAAAGACGAAATCTTTTCAACTTTGTGGGATTTTGGCGGGCAGTCAGTTTATTATTCTACCCACCCACTTTTTCTAACAAGAGGGGAAGTTTACCTTTTGGTTTATAATCTTAACCGAAATCCAGAGGAGAAGTCTATATCCCGAGTGAAGCGAGGATTATTCAAATCTATCAAAGGCATTCATTGTGAGAAAAGTAATTTGGATTATCTCGACTTTTGGATGTCCTCGGTTTCTAGTTTGGCTCCAAACAGTGAGAAGCCTCACGAAACCCCTTCAACTTCCATGCAACCAGAACTGCTGCAGCCCCCAGTT